GCTGAGATTACTCAGACAATTTTTTCCTGCAAACGCATGCCCTTCCTGAACATCTGCCAAAAAGTTATAATAGTTGCCCTAGTTCTTCTTAAAAAGCTGGGGAAGCTCATTAAAGGCAAAACTTTTAATGTCAAAAACCAACAGGGGTTTGTTTTTTGTGGGCTGTTTTTTTTTTTACTGCTAATATCTTCTCTAAAACGTTAGCTTCCATAGCAATTATAACATCGATAGAGATGCAGAAAGATTCTTCAGCATATAGAAATCTCAATATTTGAAAGATAATACTACTATTAGCACTTTCAAGGAAGAGAAAAATAACTGCTACACTTCCTGTAATGTCATTCGTCACCAAGAAGGTACTGGCAGGATTTCTTCTGGCTACTTTATTGAGCAATATAGTTAGCCACCTGCTCTTGGAATCAGAGTACAGAACAGTTTTCCATTGCAAAACAGTTCTTAAGAGCATTATTGCAGGAAACAAGACCAGAAAAAAATGTTTTCCAACAACTCTAATTTATAATTTGGTAATTCTACCAAAACATCTGACACATCAATAATATAACACGCTGAATGGTACTATGGTTATCTGGCAGCAAGTATGTTTACCAACATCAAAGATTATTACTATGGAGGTAAACAATATTGTTTTCTTGTGTATCAGAATTCAAAGTCCCATCTAATTTACTCCTCGTAAGTAAAAATATTGCAAACATCCAATTATATCAAATAGCTGCATTTAAAAAGAAAAAAAATGTATTTTAAAATACACACATACTTTTCCAACACAAACAGTTATCAAAAGTCCTACAGAGTTATCACAAATGCTATACTATAAACACACTTATGACACCTCAAACAATTGCCTGGACTTTTCATTAAAGGAGGCCAAAGAGATAAAGTCATGAATTAAGGTAAAATGATGATATACACCTCAAGATTTCTGTCCGCAGTCCAAAGCTGCAACTCTTCTAAATCCGAACACACTAAGAAATGAGCTGTCACAAAAGAAATAGTAGCCCTATAATTATTTTGACAAACAAGTTATAATTGGATCATTCTGGCCTGCATAAAGTTAACCACCTCAAGAGACAATTATTGCACCAAGTTTTCCCATTAACTATTTTCTAGGCCTGATAACAACTTTTTACCAGGCTTTATAACTTCACAGATATAAACTGTAAGCCACATCCTCTACCAAATCATCTGCAAGATCCTTGAATAAAAATTAAATGACTATAAAAATTCACATTACACAGGATTTGACATGTATACAAGAGAGCTAATATTACAATTACCCTCCCTCTTCAATGCTCCCATTCACTTAGTATGTATCTTTATTTTATCATTCTTAAAGCCATTTAATAGGCGATCACCCCCATAAGACTGTGAACTTGAAAACTGGAAATCCACCCAATTTATCTTGGTTATCCTCACTGCCTAGAAATGCCCTGGCCATAGTAGTCATTCAAGATACACTGTGTGACTAAGAACATAATACCTTCGTCACAACTGCATAAAAGCTAAAGGAGATAAACAGGAAATCAAGTAAATAGAAGATAATTTTAAGAACACACAAAAACAGAATCTGAGCGGTAATAGATACATCAGGGAAAAAAGCACTGGTCTGAAGGGCCTGGAATGTCTTTGGAATTTAGATAAATTCTAATCCAGATTTTGACAATAACAGATTTTACAAACTTTAGTGAATCACTTTGCTTCCTGGATCTCAATTTCCCCATTTATAAAATAAATACTATGATTAAATGAGCTCTAAGTTTACTTATATGCCATAAAAATGATTTTAAAGCAGCAGGAACACTTATTCCTGAAAAACAGCACTGACAGAACAGTTATAAAATACTATGTGAGATAATGTAACTCTGGAGCAAAAGATATTGTATGGGTGGGATGCACAACCCCATAAATAGTAACAGGTCACATCAATAGCAGCCACAAGCAGGCAAGAATTATATGCACACATACCTAATGTGAAAAATTACTGACATTTTCACTCATTCAATAAATCTGAAAAGGAATCAAGTTCTGCCAAAAGCAAAGGTTAAGAGTTCTGAAGAAAAGAGACATAAAGGCAAAATTCTGTTCGTTATTCCCAAGTAGAAATTATAACAGTACAGATCATATGTAGTGTGCGCATATGCGCGCGCACACACACGAAAAAAACACAAAGCATTTTTATGCTTTTTATGAATTGAAAGGCTCGTTAAAATGAATCACATAATTTAATTATTTGGGCTAGAACAACACAATATTTCACAACATTTTAGCAAAAATTAAGTTTCAACAATATGCACATCTGGGATTGTCTTTCTGCCCCACTTATTGGGACTTATTGGGACACTGAAAACCAAACATGCATAGGATCAAAGACATTCATTCCTAAACTTGAAAACTGAAACAACTCATAGACCTATAATGCAACCACATAACCAAAATAAAACTTTGCCTTAATACAAATGAATCATCCACCTCAGAGAAGAAGTTTAATGTAAGCTCTGTTATCAATACTATGCTAAACAGTGTAAAAGATCCTTGCCCACAGGAAAATTTCCCAAGCTACTAGCAAGGTAGTTTTTGGTCACTGTAAACACACAGTCTCATTTCTCCAACATCCTTCCCAAAAACCTAGGAAGAAAAGTAAGCAATTTCAATATCCATGTATATTTCAAGATATTTTTAAAAGGTACAAGAGGTCCTATAAAACAAAAATTACAAATAAAACATATCCTTGCCCTGCCGACATGGATCAGTGGTTGAGCATCGACCTATAAACCAGGAGATCATGGTTCTATTCCTGGTCCTGGCACATGTCCGGATTGCAGGCTCAATCCCCAGGGTATATATATATATATATATGTATATACATATATTTTTTTTAAATATCCAGATGTATGAAAACAAAATATACTGTACCCCAAAGGGCATGTCCAGAAAGGTAGTAGGACAGAGCACCTTGAGTAGATTATCTCACAACAGAAAATAGAAATACATTTTCAGTCATCACAACTACAAATCAAAATCATTAAGAATAGCCCTAGCCAGTTTGGCTCAGTGGATAGAGTGTGGGCCTGCGAACTGAAGGGTCCCAGGCTTGATGCCTCAGTTGTAGACTCCTTCCCATCCCAGTCCCTGGTCGGGGCTCATGCAGGAGGCAACCAATCGATGTGTTTGATTCACATCGGTATTTCTGTCTTTCCTTCTCTCTTCCACTCTCTCTAAAAAGCAATGGAAAATTCCTTGGGTGAGGTGTTTTTTTTAAAAAAAAATTAAGAATAAAAATAAAATGAAACAAACCATCAAAAGACTTCTATAAATTTTACAAAAAAGTTCATTGTTATGGGTTCTATTAAGAGTATTTCTGACCTGACTATTAATACATCAATCTTTCTGAAGTTTTTCAAAAGGAAGGCGAAGTAGAAAAAATCAACTGAGAGTTTCAAATTTAAGCAAAATTTCTATTGCATGTTCATGTATATAATCAATGTCTATCTGATCCTGATAATGGCAGGATATCACACATGTCCACTAAGTTAAAAAAAAAAAAAAAAAGCCCCCAAACCCATTAAAGTCAATTATGGAGCATTCCAAGTCTACTAATTATATATAGACTAGAAAGTATTTAATTATGAATTTTAATCTACCTAAACTTTTCAGCTCTATCTCCAGGAATTATAGCCTAAATTCCCTCTGACATCAACTGCTCACACAAAACAATTCTGGCTCTCCTACCCCCTAATCAAGATCAGACAATCACAATTCTTTACTGGTTCCAATGTTTCATGATAGGACATGTTCTTTTCTTTACAGCCTACCAAGCACTTCCACATACATTAATTATTTCATTTAGTAGGTAGGGCAAGAATTATCATCTTCATTTCATTGCCAAAATAGAGATTGAAAGATGTTAAATAGGTAGCTAGTTCACTGCTAGAAAGTAGTTGAAGGAAGACTAGAATCCAAATGTCTTTATTCCATGTCCAATTACATTCCCCAATGTCACAAAAATAAAAAGTATTGCTAAAAATTATTGAACTTAAAAATTACACTTTTCTTACTTAATCAAACCATCTGTAGATACAATAAGAATTAAAGTTAAGGTTCTAAAGTAAATACAAACAAACAGTTAATAGTCTAAACCAGGGGTGGGAACATCTGGCCTACAGGCCATTTAAGGGCCGTGAAATCATTTGGTCTGGTCCTGCGAAGGCATTAGGGCGTGAGTTAATTAAATGTTTGAGCAAATATAGCAGGCTAATTTTTAAGTTGATAATTTTGTATGACCCATGAATGATGGTATAAATGTCCAAATGGCCCTTGGCAGAAAAAAGGTCTAAACCAACTCCTTCCTATAACATACCTTAAAAACCTAATGTAATGTTCAAGAGCAATTCAAATACTACAATAAAAACAGCTTAAAGTTAAAAATAATTCTACTGTATTCATCCTATCACATAACACACAACCAACTCTGCGTAATGCATGGTTGCAGACAATAGGTGAGGTTATTATTATATTTGACTTCAAATAAAAATGTCCAAAAACCTCCTAGTCTTAACCTCCTTATGGCTTTGCTGTATTCTAGTCTAGGAGTGTCCACAGTGGAGTGCACATGAAAATCCACTGAAATATGGGAAGAAATTATTAAAGTGCTGTCTTCATTTTTTTAACCTGAAAATATTAATATTACTAAATTTACTGTATGAATTGATACTGTCGCTCTCACATAAACTCAAAAATACACATATATTTGGGGTGGGGTATGCTCAAAATAATTTCACACAAGGGATTCCTATTCAAGAAAATTTAGAAATGGTTGCTTCAAACAACAGAGAAGGTACACGAGTACTAGAAAACAGATGACTCTAGACTGCATCAAATTATAAAAGAATCTATTTAAGGCAGTCAATATCCTGCAGTTGCATATAAAAATAAAGATCTTACACTGCATTTACATAATCCATGCTGATATAAACATAACTTACCTCATCCTGGACTCCACTGGTAGTAGTCAACTTGCTCCCATCAGTAATTGTAATAATTATTGCTGGCTCCAAGAAAAAGGGGTTTCTTCCCTAAAGTCAAAAACACATTAATCACATTAAGATCTAGACATTAGTTCATTTTTTCGGAGTAAAAAGTCAATGCTCAGAACAGTGCCTAAATCCCTCTTTTTGTTGTTAAATTTTAAAGATAGTGTATAGGCTCTTGTACATTTAAAAAAACTAGAAACAAACCAAACAGAAGATAATCTTAAAGGAGTAGGATTAAGTAGAGAAAAAGGTGGGCTTTTCACTTCTCCCTACATTGTTTTAATTTTTATAGTGAGCATTTACATTTATGTAACTATCTAAAAGTATTTAATTTCTTAAAAGAGATTCCATAATTAAGTTCTAATAACTGAGCATATTCAGATATTACAAATTAAAAGAATAGTGTTTTCTTAGAAACTTCTTAAAAAGGAAGGCAAAATGATAGGTGGACATTATCATGTAATTTAATCCAAGAGCTAGTTCCATGGAAAAACTAGGGCTACTCTGAGCTTAGCAAAATTAATAATAGTCCAATGCAAAAAATTATATAGTAATTACATAGGATGGTTACTTAAAGAAACTACTTGGTGAAGAGTACAAAAACAGTAGCAGTGGCAATGGAACACAGTGAAAAAGTTCTCAAATGCTCTATAGGTAAGGTATAATAACTACATTAACTTCCATTCAAATCTGTGGTCAAGTCATTCTATGAATACAATAATCGATTCTAAGTGACATAGGGGCTCAGATAAACATAAACTTATCTTTTACATATAAATGGTTCTCATCTGAGATACTAAACACATTGTGTATAAAACTATAATGAAAGACTGAAGTTTCTAGAGGGTAAACCTGGTGTTTGAAATCAAAGATATCAAATTCTCAGTTACTAACAATGTTCAAGGACAGAATGAAGTTTTATTGGATATGATGTTAAAAACCATGACAAATTTTAATGTGCATATGAACATGGAGATCTTGATAAAATGCAGGGTCTAATTCAGTAGGTATGGAATGGAGACTAGTGTTATTATGCATATCTAATAAGATTGCAGGCTAGGAGATGCTAATATGCACAGACCATACTTAGAATAGCAAAGATGTAAAAAGATTTTTACATGCATGTACTCATCTATGGGTCGATAAGCTTTCCCTTACACATTTATGTAACTCTCGATCATTAGCATATTATAGTGCATAGTCATTATTTATTGAATTTTCAAACACTTTTTCACATACAGTAATTGTGATCATAATCTAATCATCATAAAGGGCTGAGAGTGGGGGTCTAATAGATTACATTTCTTGATCAAGTTACACAACTTCTAAGTGGCATATACATTTTTTCAAACTGGTGTCCAGATGGAGGAAGCTTCCCCTGGTCAAGTAAAATATGTTGGATATAAGCTCGAGGATTTCGAATGCACAGTAGCATTCAAATGTTAGAGAAGCTTTGCAGGAATAACATGAATTTACCTTCCCTTCCTCCTCTACAACATTCATGGTAAATATGACACATTTTTGGAACTATTACATTATACTATATTGTCTCTCATACCATTCACCCCCAACATAAATGACAAATTCTAATAATGCAGTTCTTCTCATGGATCTAGAAACAGATAATGCTCATTCCCATCTCGAGCTTTGACTAGTTCCCTCAAGTAGAATGCTTTTCCTTTTCCCTGCCCACAACCCACCCAATTCCTAAACATTCCTTAAGGTATAGTTTATCATAAAGTGCTGAGGGTAGGAGTTTGTAAATTACATTTCTTGATCCTCTTCTTCCATGAAACCTTCCCTGATTACTCTGGCCTTAAATAAGTACACCCTTTTCCTTCTCCAAATTCTAATAATAATAGTTTTCAAGCCCAAGTTAAATAAATATATTTACATATTTAACATAGATAAATAAAGTGTTTCTTCAAATAAAACTGGATTTTGAGTGGTTTCATGGAGTACATTTTGAATACCACTTCCCTACAGCATTTATCCTCTCTCAACAAATTATTTTAAATTTAAATATATAACACCTTGTACAGCAATATGAATATTTAACACTACTGAACTCTACACTTAAAAACAGTTAAGATGGTACATTTTGTTGTGTGTTTCTACCACAATTTTTAACAAATACACTATCTTGTATAATATGCTATTGTTTTATGTGTTTCAATACATTAAAGGCAAGGATCATGTCATATTTCTTCCTTAGGCCTGAACACAAAATATTTAAACAATGAGCACTTAAATATTCATTATTCACTAATTATATATAATTACATAGCCCAGTACAAACCTGTCAAAGTTCACAGAACCATTTAAAATTATTCAAACTTCAATAAGCTTAACAAATGCTACCTTCACTTTCATATAAATGAGTGCTTCCCAAACTTAACACGTAACTCATGAACTTGCTAGGCTACACAGGTACACTCCCTCCTATATCTGTCTAGCCATCACTATCCATTCACATTCCTGTTTGTCATTCAAACATTTACTGAGTGGCTACCATACGTAAGGCATTGTGTTAGGTGCATAACACATAAGCTCTACTCTCATAATAAATGTACAAATCTTTGTACATGTAACAATCTCTCTCCTTTCCTGGTCCTACAAATACCACTGTAGCTGAAATATTGGCAAAGGGAACTAAAGAACACCATGATGTCCTAATATCTTTAAAACTATTGTATCTTGATTCCATCCTTAAGCTAAAACTACTTTGGTTGACTTGCTGCCTTTCAAAAAACAAATCAGCAAATACCTTAAAGCCACCACAGCATGGACCCAAGACTTGCTGTAGTGTCTCTGTATCATCTCCACTGTAACCTAAGTCAAAGGCATTATTTTCTGACCAAAAGTTTGATATCCATCCATTCTTATCCTATGTAATAAAAGCCTAATATGCAAATTGTCCCCTCCACCGGGATTTCGACTGCTCGCTATGACGTACGCTAACCACCAGGGGGCAGTGCAGAACATGGCAGGCAATGGTGACAAGGCACTGGCAGCAGGTGGCAGTAGAGGTGCTGCCAGCCTGATGGGTCCTGATGAGAGCAGGACAGCAGCAGGTTGGTGGAGCAGGTGAGTGGGCAATGCCAAGGCCAAGGTGGGTGCGAGCAGGGCCCAATCGCCCCACCGATCACCCCGCAGATGGTGACCAGTGGCAGGGGCAGGGGGCGGGAACGCCATCGGGCTCCCAAGTGCTGAGGGAGCCAGGCAGGGGCCCGATGACTCAGGCAGAGGAGGGGCACGTGGGGCTGGGGCCCAAGGTGCTGCCGGCCACAATGGGCCTCCGATGAGAGGGGGACTTCAGAAGGATGGTGGAGCAGGTGAGTGGGCAGCACCAGGCCAAGGAGGGGGTGAGCAGGGCCTAATTGCCCTGTCAATAGCCCCGTAGATGGCGATCAACAGTGGTGGCAGGGGGTGGGGTTGCTGCCCAGCTCCCAGGTGCTAAGGGAGCCAGGCAGGGGCCCGATGACTCAGGCAGAGGAGGGGCACGTGGGGGCCTGGGGCCCAGGTGCTGCCCAGGGTCCAGAGGTCAGCTGGGACCTGCCCTTCCATGCCAGACGCTGGCACTTGGATTGCTGGCCAGGCCTAGGACCACATCCGTGCACGAATATCATACACTGGGCCTCTAGTTCCTGCATAAGCACATTGAGAATTATACTCCAGAGCAGAGAGAATTGGTCGTATCTATAGTAAAACAACAATAATCTATGGTGTATGAATAAGTTTATAAATTATTATGTCAACCCAAAACTAATATACTTTTTTAAGAACCATGTCTCAAGATCAAATTAAAATGCATTCAAGCCCAGCCAGTGTGGCTCAGTGGTTGAGCATTGACCTATGAACCAGGAGGTCAGGGTTTAATTCCTGGTCAGGCCACAAGCCCGGGCTCAATCCCCAGTAGGGGGAATGCAAGTGGCAGCAGATCCATCATTCTCATTGATGTTTCTATCTCTTCCTTTCCCTTCCTCTCTCTGAAATCAATAAAAAATAAAATAAAAAATTTTAAAAAAGCATTCAAATTCAGTAAAAAGTCTGTTATTAAAATTTTAGGTAAATTCAAAGTTACTTTTTCCTTAACAACAAAATGAAGCTTTGAATTAAAATTTTACTATAATCTTATATACACAGTAGTCTCCCCGCCCAGAGGCTATTCCTGAAATTACTAATAACAACCATGTCCTTAATAATAATCTCTCTATATAAAGGCATAATATGCAAATTGACCGGATGGCAGAGCGACCAGTCAGCTATACTGCGCACTGACCACCAGGGGCAGACGCTCAACACAGGAGCTGCCCCCTGCCTGCAGGCCCCTATCGCCCAATGAAAAACAGGGAACCAGGGGGTGGGTGACGGTGGTCACAGATGGTGCTGGGTCCCCAGGTGATCAATGGCAGCAGGAGGCCGGGTCGGCGAGCAGGAGGAACAGCCAACCTCTTGGTCCCTCCCCCTGGTCGGCAGGCTCCAATAACCCCATAGGGAACCGGGTGAGGGCAACCAGCGGTGGCGTCGAGGCAGGAGAGGAAAGGGATGGGCCCTGATCACAGGCCAGGCCTAGGGACCCTACCTGTGCACAAATTTCATGCACTGAGCCTCTAATAATAAAGAATTTACCTCATTTGACCCTAAAAACTTGGTGAGGCAAGTAAATGTTCAGAGATTAGATGATATAATCCAAAATCATCTAGCTGGTAACTGGCAAAGCCAGAACCTTAATTCAACTCCAAATCATAAGGTCTTTCAGCAACACCTGAAAGTCCTGTTGGTAGCAGCTAACAATTCTACAACCAATCTGGATTATAATGTATTTACCCAATGATGAATGGTATTAAATAAGTTTGATTTTATTATATTCTATCTGCAATGAAATTAACTACTGTAGTACTATTCCTTTACTGGATTCCTGTTGCTATGCTATTTTACCCATCAATTCTTCTATATATAAATCAATATACCTCCCCCCAAAAAAACACACTCATACAAAACACAGTATGTATTAGCATTTACTTTTAAAAACCATATGA